TGTGTGTGTGTAACCTGATAGATATGGTTGAGTTTGAAGTGCTTGAGGAGCAGGAGCAGCAGAGCAGAGATGGCCTTGACGATGATTTCCTTGTGTCGGTTAACATCGATTCCCAGCTTCATGCTCTGCAGGACGGTGATACTAAAAGAAACACACGCTGTAACTGTAAGGCCTTTGGGTCTTTAACAGTATAATCACTTCTCTGACAAAGTGACAGGCACAGAAGGAGACCGAATCAGATTTATTTTGGGCTTTTTAAAAAACTTTTTTTTAGCCAGGACAGAACTGGAAGACACAAAGGAAACAAACTGGGGCAGACTTGAACCCAGGCACCCTGTATGGCCTTCTGATGGCTCTGCTGCCAGCTCAGGCAGGTGAGCGAGTGCGTAGTTTCAAAACATGCTCACCAAAAAAAGAAAGAAATGGATTTCAGCCATGAAAATATCAGACATCTTTCTTTTTTCTGAGTGGGTGTTTTTGCATCAGGAAAACTGTCTCTCCTTTCATTGGCGTGTCAGCGAATCTAAAACAGAGCCATCCTACAGACCACGAACAACCGACAAGTAGTGCATTTACACCAGTGCTAACAGCCAAGAAAACCCATAAGAAAAGCAGGCTGCTTTTTTTTCTTGCCAAGTGATTAGACAAAAATAAAAATAAATCGTACATAAACAGCAGTGCAAAGATGCTCCCGAGAGGATTTCTTTCTTTTTATTCCACACTGCATCTTTTTTTAATTATCGCTGAGCATTATTAGCAAAAGTGTGTTTACTCTTCAAAACTGTCTCATCTAAATATGGCTCTAGATATCTACAGCATCATGACAAAAAAAAGAAAAAAAACAGCAGCATGGGTAGGGGAAAGAAAAGAAAGACAGTCAAGGATCCCAGCAGTCTTTCTGCAGTACTTACGGCATCTCCTCAGGCAGCACATCAGCCAGGATGTTGATGGAGTCCGTTTTGGCTTTGGAGGTCGGAGCTGCAGCGAGCAGTAGCTTCAGGAGGGCAATCTGATGCAAAAAAGAACACAAAAATAGAGGAATAATAACAGGCTAATCATTCAAGTTTCTACAGTACCCTCTTAAAAGTCTTGTAAGCTTTTTTGTCCTCCACAAAACACATTTCATATGAGATGATATGCAATAATTTAATGCTAGCTAAAAAAAAAAGAAGCACAAAGTGGTATCAGAAATATGATTGAAACCAGTACAGAGACAGTTGCTAACCACTGAGACTCTGTGTTAGACTATTGAAGATTTAATGAGCTGGTTTTATTAAACAAAGGTCAATAACTCCGGTGAGAATTTAATCATGAGGTACTCACCACATACTGTGACAGGTTGGGAAGCATTCCCAGGTACAGCATCTCTGCTGCTGTGTCCTCCACTTCCTCTTCACCCTGGGAGATAACACGTGCATACAGTGGAAAGTCAACA